AGGGGTAGGCCGCGAAGCTGCAGGCGTCCCGGGAGGGGGGACCCAGCCCAGGGGAGGCTGCAGGAGAGCTCGGAGGGCCCGGGGAGGCTGCAGCCGGGGTCGGGGCCGGGCCCAGACCCAGGCAAGGCCGTAGGCAGGCCCTGTCTGACTGCGTTTTAGCGCCCAGTCTCGGCACGAGCAGGAGGGTGCTGAGAGCTCACACGTGGTAACCTAGAGGTGTCCAAGGACCCTGCTGTGTCCTTACAGGCTGTGGGCTGAACTCCCTGTGTTTCAGGTAGTCTGGGGAACGTGCTTGCGTGCTCAGTTTTGTTCTTTTGCGTTTGACTCCTCTATTGACAGGTTCATTCCTTGCTCTTCAGCCTCTCCTTCAGTCTGTTAGCAGTGTCTGTTGCTCCAGTGTCTCCTCATTTGAGAGTCCTTTCTTTTACAGGTCTTCCTTTATGTTACGATTGACCTTCAGTTCCTCTGTTCTGTTGCTTCCAGGCTGCTGATTGTGCAACACCTTTCCTTGAGTCAGAAACGCAACCTGCTCTGGAAATAATTGAAGTGGTGTAACCCTTAGCCTCTGCGCCCCCCTCCCACCCCCCCCCCCCCCCCCCAAGTCACTAACGCAGATTCAGGGGTTGTTTCTGAGTCTTACGTAGGTATTTTATTCCAGATCAGGGCAGACGTTCTGTCTGTGAGTGACGCTTCCTGCTGTCTTTTTTGTGGCCAGAGTGTCAGACTTCTGTTAACAGCCTGGCATTACAGCCCCACGTTTCTGCTGTACTGCCCATGAGACTCACTCTCCGGATCTTTCAGATCTTCCTAAGATCACACGTCAGCAGAAGTTATGAAATGCCAGCTGTGCCTGCACGCTTTGTAAAGTGCTCCTGGTGTCTCCTGAATATTTCAAATTGTTTCTGGGTTCTTCCATCCCAGTATCTCAAAATGTGTCCGTACCTTGAGATCCGGCTCTGTTGCTGAGCGCCTCGCCAGACCCAAGGCAGGTCTCTCCCATGGGCTTATCGAGCTACCGCTTTCCTTATGGCACAGTAGGTCTCTGTCAGCAGGCCTAACGGGCGGGCATGTGCTTCAGCTGGCTTTGACTTTGCTTGCCTGAGTCTTCTCCCTAGCCAAGTGCTCACAACGTATTTTGGAATATTTTGTGAACTGTCCAAAAGCCACGTGTGATTTTTTAAAATACTTGCAATTAACTTTTCACGCAGTTTCTTCTTCTGGAGCTTTTTAGCTCAGTGGATTGCGTATTTCCTTTGCGCCTAACCAGCCCCTTCGGGTAGCTGATGTTCCTGTTCCATGTGTGTTCTGAGGCCAGATGTCCTCCAGGATAAAAGCTATTTGTTATTCCAGAGTCTCATATTATTTTCCAAGAAGACCAAATAGGGATTGCTGCTGCGCTTTTTCTTGCGGGGGGAGAAGAATTTTTTGTCAAGATCAGTCATAGAGCAATTGAAGAACAAACTTGGGCTTCCTCTAATACTGCTAGAATAGTTTTATAGATTGTAAACAAATGATTATTAAACAGTTCTCTGTAGAGAAACTGCAGCAAATGGACTCGTCTTGCTGTGCTGTCAGATCCGTACCGTTGGGTCTGCTCCGCTTAGGTGTCTTCGGCTTGTCCTGGGAGCAGAACTCTCCTGCTTTGCTGTGTTTACACATCATTGTTGTGGGAATGGTGGCGGAATTATCCTCATTATGGATCATTTTTCTCTGAATGGGGGCTGCCTGTTTGCTATAGGAGCTCTGTGTGGAGGATTTAGACCGTTTCTGGGTGAATGGCCCCCACTGGTACCTGTGCAGTGGAAGTACAGGTTTTTCTGGTTTAGGTGATTTGACCTTTGACAAGACCAAACCAGTGTTAGAGTTAAGCCAGGTTTATGCCTAACCTTTAGCAATGCTCCTTTTGGCTGAGATGCTTTCTGGAGCACGTTGCTCCTTCCCTGGCTGCTCAGGGACCCAGTGCGATGAAGTCTTTGATGTAAGGGCCAGAGTTAGGGAAGAAGAAATTGGATTTGGAGCATTACAAATTGTAAGGTGGATTTGAATGTCTCTATACAAGATGTCCTTGTGGTCCTCTCTTGGAAAATGCTGGAGCTTCTGGCAAGCCTCCAGACTGCTGTTCTCCCAAAGGATTGCATTTTCATGTGGGGGATTTGATATGCTGAAACTGAGAGTAGGAGAGAGGGAGCAGCTAGAAGCAGCCTGCTCCTTTGTACGCAGAAGCATGGCAGTGGGTGAGCTGGAACAGCCCTCTGGGTGGGTGGGGGGCAGCCTGGTGTCCTTTCACAGAGGGGTTCTGCACATCTTGCATCCTCTACTTGCAGGCCTTATCCCGTGGCTGGAGGAGGCAGTAGGCTGTATAGCAAGAGGCCAGGCTTCTTCCCCACGTGTTGTTGGGTGCAGGCGAGTAAACGAGTAGCCTGCGTGGTTGTGGGGAGGAGGACTGGAAGGTGGTCGAGGCTGTGCAGAGCTGGAGTTATGGGAGCCTGGCAGGACGTGGCTGCACAGTTGCTGCTCTGATGGATGTGAGGAAAAACCACGGATCTCAGTCCTTCTTGGACAACTTAGCTTTCTGCAGGTCCTGGCTGCTCTGAAGTTCATCAGACTGGCACCAAGACTATTCTGAGAAGGAGCTAGGCTCGAGCAAAGGGGATGTGATGAAATCGCTTACAAAGCCGCTGGCTGTTCTCTCCTCACAGGCACCAGGAGTGCGGTGCTCAACACAGAAGCCCGCACTGTAGAAGCAGACGTCCTGAGCCGCCGCTGCGTCATGATGCGGCTGGTGGATTTCTCCTACGAGCAGTACCAGAAGGCGCTCCGCCAGTCGGCTGGTGCCGTGGTGATCATCTTGCCGCAATCCATCTCTTCTGTCCCACAGGACGTTGTAAGGGTAAAAAAAAAGCTCCCTTTCTCTTTGGATGGGAGAGGGATTTGAGAGGGAGAGAGGCTTGGGCTGCTGGAGCACTGAAAGCTCCTGTTATAATGCCCAGCAAGTCGTATTCTGCTTTTAAAACTTACCCTTCTCTCTCTGCTTTGCTGGTTAATTTTTCCTGCCCTCCTGCACGTTTAGCAGATGCTGAGTTTGTGTCTCGCTTAAATCCTCAGCAGTTTATGGAGATAGAGCCGGAAATGCTTGCTATGGAAACCATTGTGCCAGTCTACTTTGCAGTGGAAGATGAAGAGCTCCTGTCTATCTATGAACAGACGCGGGCTGCTTCTGCCTCGCAGGGTTCTGCCTCGGCTGCGGAAGGTGAGCTCTGACAAGCGAGAGGAGTTTAGAGGAAGACAGCCCTGATCCCTCGGAGCAATCTGCTGGATCATGAAACAGGGTTCTGCTGCCTTCATGTTTATTCTGTCTTTGTTAAAGTGCTTTGAGATTTAATGGAAGAAACGTACAGTATAAGAGCGTTACTTGACTGTGTGTGGAAATACAGTTGCATGGAGTGAGTTCTCAGCTTCACGCTGTTGCATGTGAGACAGAAAGCAAAACTCAAGTTAGAAGCAGCACTGAAGGTGTTAAGTGACTAGGGGGTGTTGGCAGAAGCTGAAGCTTTGTCAGTTCGGTGTTTCCATGTACTACCTTTTAAATAATGTCACTGTCTTACTGACCTGCTGCTCATGCTTAACTTCAGGACTGCTGGAGAAGAGTGTTTGTTTTAGCTACCTCAGAATATTGGGATTTCAGGACAGAATGAAAAGGCATCATCACCAGGTTTCTCTGTCAGTGCATAAACAGAAGCAACGAGTGAGAGGGCTTACATGGTTTAAAGCTGGTCTCTCCAGAGCTCAGCAAGGGAAAATAGGGATGAAACTTCCTCAGGTGTACTGTTCTTTTTCCTAGTTCTGCTGCACACAGCAACTGCCAATGGCTTCCAGATGGTGACCAGCGGGGCTCAAAGCAAAGCTATCAACGACTGGCTTATACCCAGCGTGGAGGTGAGTTGTATATGGATTCAAATGGCAGCATTGGTGGGATGCTGCCTTTTATTGGGACTTCATCCGACGTGTGGATTGACGGGGGGAGTCAGGGCAGTCTCCGGGTAAGAGGTCCTCAGACCTGAGACCACTGCAGGCTCAATGGGCACGTGGAGGTCAGGTTGTCTTTGTACAGGCGCGCAGAGGGCGATGCTGTGTGACACGGATCTCTTTCCTCTGCAGGGAAGGCTTACGGGGCTGGGAGGAGAAGACCTGCCCACTGTCGTGATAGTTGCCCACTATGATTCTTTTGGAGTGGCTCCGGTGAGTATTCTATCTTCCTGGAGCTCTCTGTTCCTGTCTGTGTGTTCCCGTGTGGCATCTGCCCCTGTGTTTTTCCTTGGCTTTCAAGACATGGGGCAGTTATAAGGGGGGCATGGTGGTTGCTGTCTTGAGGGCTGTTCTGATATGTGACAGGAAGCGGGTTGTCACCTGGTCTCTGTCCCACTTCATCCTGCAGTGGCTGTCGCATGGCGCTGACTCCAACGGCAGCGGTATCTCCGTGCTGCTGGAACTAGCCAGGCTGTTTTCCCGGCTCTACACCTACAGACGTACCCACGCTGGGTAAGAACCTGCCCTGTTCTTGGCTGAACGCCTGTAGCTCAGCTTGGATAAGAAGGGCCTTTGCTCCAGACCTGTAGAGTGTTACAAATAGTCTTTTACTTTCCTTCCCTCCAAGAACAGCCACTGTTAATAGCCAAGCTCCTTCTTCGGCTTCTTTGCTGGAGCTCTGCTCAAGCTTGGGCACAAGTGGAGGGAGTGGTGTGGGAAGTGGATTGCATCCTCCAGCATTGGGATCTCCCCTCCTTTGCCCCCGTCCCACCGTACCTTAGCACTGGCATGTAGGAAGCAGTTGTTAATGGACAGCTTGCCTTAATCTCTGTGTCAGCTGTTGGGATTTCACCACACCTCCAAGGTGGAGTGAAGGAGTTCTCTGTCCATGGGGTGCAGTGTGGTAACACTTTTCTGTTGTCTCTGGTGGGCAGGTATAACTTGCTGTTCTTTGCATCTGGAGGAGGCAAGTTTAATTATCAAGGAACCAAGCGGTGGCTAGAAGACAATTTGGACCACACTGGTGAGTAAGGGGCTGCATTCCGGCCTGTCCTGTGGCAAAGCCTCTTGTAATGTGATTGTGTGAAGCACCTAGTATGTCACCCCTCTTGTGATCTCCTTGTGTGGGCCTTTTTCTTTTGGGATGGAAATCCCAGCACAAAACGTAGCAATAAATGTTTGGATTTTTCTGTTCCAGATTCCAGCCTGCTGCAGGACAACGTAGCCTTTGTTCTCTGCCTTGATACTCTGGGCCGAGGCAATAGTCTTCATCTCCACGTCTCAAAGCCTCCCAAGGAGGGGACCTTGCAGCATGCATTTCTGAGAGAACTGGAGATGGTAATGAAAAGCATTTCAGGTAGATGGGAACTTGGGACTTACTGTGGGGAGCTACAGTTCTCCAAAAGAGGACGGAAGGAAGGAGGACAGGAGGAAAGGGTGCACCGATGAAATACTTCATGTGGTGTTTATGGTCACTTGATTTGAAGTGCAGACAAATCCTTACGCCACAGTCCCAAATGAAGCAGACCAGATCTTCACTTCCCTATGGCTTGTTGCTCGCAGAAGCGACCCAGCTGCTTTCTGCAGTGACAGTAAATCAGCTTTTTAATGGCAGTAACTGCTCCATACGGGTGGAAGTGTATTTACCTTCGGGAACGCAGAAAAATTGGGTCTAGGTGGACTGGGCAGTGCAAGATGGAACTACTCTGTGGGCAGTATGACACCCTGATGGCTTGTCCTTTCCCTCAGGTTGTTGCCAGCCAGTTCCCAGAAGTGAAGTTTTCCATGGTGCACAAGAAGATAAACTTGGCTGAGGACATGCTGGCGTGGGAGCATGAGCGTTTTGCGATCCGACGCTTGCCAGCATTCACCATATCCCATCTGGAGAGCCACCGGGACAGCCTGCGCAACAGCATCATGGATAGGAGGTTAGAGGCCTTGCCAAGGCTGCAGTTGAAATCCGGCCCATAAACACAAATTGGCCTCGTGACTGGTGGTGCTGTTCTGGTGGCCAGATGGGTGAAAACCACTGGGAGTTGGGCTCTGGAGTCAGGCTCATGCTTGATGCGGTGAAAAAGGGCAGTTCCTAGAGGAAGCTAATCCCATTGACAAGTCCGTAATCCCCTCTTTTGCTTTAGGGCACAAATAGACACGAAGGCACTAACCAGAAATACCAGGATCATCGCTGAGGCTTTGACAAGGGTCATCTACAACCTAACAGACAAGGTAAGAGCTGCCCGTCACGCAGTGCTGGCCAGACTCGGCCTGCCCAACCGAGCCTGCTCTCACCAGTAGCTTGTGTGGATTTCTTTCCCCTTGCAGGGAGCGCCTGCAGATCTGCAGATCTTCACGGATCAGATGGTGAGCACAGTGCGTTTTTGTAACCTGTGGGAAGGAGGAGTGAAGAGTCTGGGAGAGAGGTCTGGTGTTGGCATGCGTGTGGTTGACTCCTTTTCTCTGGCGGTGTCTCTGCAGCAGATCCAGCAGGAGCAACTGGAATCGGTGATGGACTGGCTGAGCAGTCAGCCCAGGGCTGCTCAGCTGATTGATAAAGACAGCACCTTCCTCAACACCTTAGAATATTATATGGGTCGCTACCTGAAGGATGTCAAACAGCATCATGTAAAGGCAGACAAACGGTAAGAATGAATGAATGAATGAGTGAATGAACTCCAGTGAATTCTGTCTCTGAGCTGCAGCTTTTCTGGCTTCTGGGCATGTAGCTGGAAGAGACTGCTCTCCCCTGCCAGTGTTGGTTCATGCTCTGTTCTCCCAGAGAAAGCTCTTTATCTTTCCTCACAGCACAGTATCAAGTCCCAGTAGCTCCCTCTGTCTGAAGAGCTGTTTCTCACTGGTTTGGTTCTGCCCTTCCCACTGAGTGCTGCTTCTCTCTGAATGCAGAAAAGATTGAGGTCCCCTGGAAAGCTCTCTAATTGCAAAAAGGCAGCTGCAATCCTGTTGAACCTGCTTGGGTCGAAGCAGCTGAATGAATCCAGAGAGGCATTTTCCATGTGCCTCTCCTGAGACAGCTCAGTAGCATGTGTTCTGAGTTGTATCCTTAGGCTTCTGATTGTAGAAAAAGAAAGACTTGACAAATCAGTTCAAAACCAGTATGCAGGGTGTTGATGCTTTCCTATCTCTGGCTGGATGAGCTCCTTGGGATCACAGGTCTTGCTTGTCATTGCTGTGGTGTCAAGAAGTGTGAAAAATTCCTTCTTTTCACAGGGACCCTGAGTTTGTTTTCTATGACCAGATGAAACAGGTGATGAATGCGTACAGGTATGGAATCCCTTTGGGCACGTTGGGCTGTTGTCTCTCTGTGGCAGAACCTGCTGTAGCTATTTCAGCTGTTCTTTCTTTATTCCAGGGTCAAGCCAGCCATCTTCGACCTGCTTCTGGCTGTCTGTATCGCAGCCTACCTTGGTGTTGCCTATGTCGCAGTGCAGGTAAAAGAAGAGAGGAGTTGGATGTGTTATCTTCCTCATGAGTCGCATGTTCGCTGCGGTAACTGGTGCTTGCACAGTCCCAGCACCAAAGTGGGACCAGTAATGCTGCCCCACTGTAAAAGCACTAATCCAGAAAGTCTGGCTGTTGTGTTGCGTACGTGTTTGAGCATCTCAGTTGGCTGTGCTGAAGGCAACCTCTTGCCATTCCAGTGCAAAACTGTTTAACAGAGCTCCTTGGTCAAGGACGTACGCAACTCACTCGTTTTGGCTGTGCAACAGCTTTAGACTGAAACTCCTCAAGGTAACTAAAATCTGCCCTAAGGTTAAAGGTTTGCAGCTTGGAATAAGTTAGAAGTATTTGGAGATCTGTCCGTTATCTGAACTTGGGATGCAGCTTAGAAATGCATCCTCAGGGGTTTGGGGTGGTTTTTGTTAGTTTGGGACTGATTCCCCAAGTCCCGCCCTGTCTTCAGGGTGAGAGTGCTCCTGGGTGATCCAGACATGGGGTTGCGTTTACACGTCAGCGTTGTTTTAAGCCTTCTAGTAAGTTTTCTCTCTGTGTAGAACACACTTGTTTTATTAGAATCTGGACGGACTCACGGTTACTTATCTTCCGTTTCCAGCACTTTGGTCTCCTTTACAAGATGATCCAGAGATTATCCCTCAAAACCAAGCAGCAGTGAAGTGACGAGTCATCACCCGAACAGCAGCACTGAGCCATGGGTGAGCCCACAGGAACCTTCTGCCTTCCACTGAATCCTGCTGTTTCTCTTCCTCTCTCTCCTCTCTGCTGCTCTCTGGAGGGGAGGAAGGCAGAAAGAAAATGAAATTTGAACTCTTGTGCACCTTTTAAGTGCTTTTCTTCACCTTCTTCCCCTGAGTTGCACCATGTCCGTTTTCCTTTGCTTTTTGGCGAGGGAGAGGCTCGGAGATGCCGGTAGTTTCTGCAGGTTGTTTAAACACTGAGCGGCTGATTCTGAGCAGCTTCTGTGCGTGTGACGCCAGCCCCTTCGTGGACACGTGCCATACAGCCAACTTGGAAGCTGAAACTGCGGAGTAGAGTGATGTGTTGTCTCTGCCCAGCTAACGAGGACTAAGAGCAGTTGTTGAAAACAAAAGAAAGTGCACGTGCAAATTAAAGAGAATGCTATTGGCATGTTTTCTTCCGGCACCTCTTCCTTAAGTTCCCTGCCTGGCTCCGGGGAGGCGTGCTGCGCAAGCACCGTGCGTTTTGTGTAGATTGCGCTAACCCGTGGCGCAGTTGCACTGTACGCGGGCTTGGCTGTTGCTGACGGAATGAGGAAAGGTCATTAGACCGGGTTCCTTGCAGGTCAGGTCTTCCCAGGACAGGTTCTCTCTGTTGGAGGATGCAGGTTGCTGTGTACTTGATTTCTCTTAAAAGTTTATGGTCCTTGAACAGTTCATGGCTGCCACCACTCTGTGCTGAACTCTTGCTTGGTTTTAAGGGGTGTTCTACAGCCACAACTGCTGCAGGATCGTGCTCTTCCATGTATTTAAACGAGCTGGTTATGTTAATAGCAAGAGCAACCCAGCTCCTGCTGAGCTCTGGGCTGTAATCCTTTCAGTCTGCCTTTCACTTCCAGATGCGTTCTGGATTTTGGGGTGTTTTCCTAGGTTCACCTGCATCTCAGGGTCGTATTTCACATTTTTCAGCTCTATTATTTCTGGAAACACTGTTCCTGGCCTGCACGTGTGAGCAAGTTCCCCAAGCGCTTGTTGCTGTCCTTCCCTGTGCTGCCCCCGGTGTGTATGAAGGGAGGCAGGTCACTCAGCCATTAAAAAAAACAAAACAAAAGTTTTATGAATGTCACTGTAAACATGACTGTTTCTAGCACTGTACCTAGGAGGGTGTAGCTTGGAACGCATGCTCTCCGCTACTTGTATCCCTGAGCAAGCTTTATTTTTAGTTTGCTGATGCTTCTGATCTGATCTTGCATCTGATGCTGATGGAGAGCGCTGTGTAGTTGCCCAAGATAGTTGCCAGTGCTGTGCAGAGATCAGGAGGGCCAAGTGACCGGTTGCCCAAGCATTGTCATCATCTTCTGTTTCAGTCTCTCCTGAATTCCACCATCCAAGGGAAGCAGGATACTCGTCACCACTTTCTGGCGAGAGCTGAATGCCCTTTCTGGGCAGTGTTGCACTGCTTTTCCCCCCAGGTTCTTTTGGAATATGTATGGAGGCACTGGCCACAAGCCCTAGGTTAGTTGTAGTTGTGGGGGATGTCCTGGTTGAGTGCCACTGTCCTGCTGCTCAGCACTGAGTCCTTTCTGGAGTTTGTTCTACGCACATGAGGTCTCTCCACAGTGATTACCTGTTGTTTGGTTTGTTTTTTTTAATGACTGCTTGTATTTAAAATGGCATCTTGTACAGAGGCTGGAAAGTTCCCGTGGATTTGAGTGAAGGTGTAACCTGTTTTTGTATGCGGGGAAGATTCGAGCTGTGCATCCCTGTCTGCACCACAGCTGCTGTGTGCACGCTTGTTGGAAACGGAGTAGTTGCGGCCCGTCACAGTCCTTTGGATGGGGTCCAGAGCATGGATTTTCACCCATTTTTGTTTCACTACAGCCTCCTTGGAGTATCCTTATCCCATGAGGCATGCTTTCTGCTACTTTAAATGTGTATCAACTTGTTCTTTAAAGGGTCATTTCTTTTCCAGGGAGCGTGCTGGTGTCGCTCCGTCAGCAGGTGGTGTGGCACCCAGCCCTCCTGGAATGTCAGCCCTTCAGGGAAACCTGCCTTGTTTGGGTCTTCTGAGTGCTTATTTAAAATCATCTCTGCGTGCGTGAGGCGTTCGTGACGCTTCCCTGCCAGAGGAATTTAGGGTGACTTTAGGAGTGTTTGGAGTGGCTGGAAGACACACTGTGGTGGTTTGCCACTGACTTCTGTGCTCTGCCCTTGGGAACGACATTGACTGTGCTGTGGGAAGTGGCAGGCTCTGGACTGTGGCTGTCTCAAGAACTCCGTAGGTTCGGAGTATCTGGAAGTAGTTCCAGAGGCCTCCAGCTGCACCACGCGTTTCTAGTGTGTTGCACTTGGAGAGGTGTTCACTCCAGTGCAGCAGATCACTTAACCAGGCGTAATGAAACTGTTACTTCACTGAGAAAAACAGAAAACCCCCCAGTTTCATAGCAATCCTGCTGCAGCTTGGCTCGATGCACATAAAATTTGGAAGTAGTGGAATGGGTAAGAGAGAATGGAACAGGCTCAGAACATTCTTCCTTGCAGTGGAGACTGTCAGCCTTCAGTCTTCCCAAGGAGAAGCTCAAACTCCACTCAGACTTCCACGAAGCAGCCCAGAGCGGCTGCAGCTACGTCCCTGTCAAGGTGGTAGCATTAAAGCTCCTTGTGGTCTCAGTCATAAACTGCTGACACTCCTGGTGCTGTGTCACGAGCCAGTGGCACCCCTCTAAAAGAAAGGTGGATAGAGGGAAAGGAGGAGAGCTCCTAAACCTGAGGGGCAGTTGGCACAGGACATGACTCTCCTGCACGAGGGTAGTTTGTCCCACGCTCGGGTGGATGCGTTTTGTCTGTCTCTGGCTGCTGTAGGAAGTAGTTTTTACTGCAGGTAAGGGTTTAAGCTTTTGAGCAAAGTGCACGTGCACCGAAGCATTCGGTGTTCAAATCCGAGCTCATCAGATTCCAGCTTTCTCCTAGCTGGAGCAGGGTGCCCATCCCGGGAGTGAACGGAGCTCCCACGCTGCTCTTCCCCTGGGGAAGTTGACAGAGAAGCTTGTAAATCAGCCCTGCTATTCTGCTGGGTTTGGAAGAAACCGAGAGCGGTAGTGCTGATCCGTACTGCAGCATGGCTGATCGGTTCTTTCACCAGCAACACGCAAAGGTAGAAACCCAACAGCTGTTCTGGTAAAATAAAAGTTCTCCGTGACATTGCAGAAGAGCTCTGTGCAGCTGGTTCTTGCTGCCCCTGGTTTTACCTCCTTTTTCTCAGGGGCTTGGCCTGGAAGGAGGCAGCATGGAAAGCAAGTCTCCGCACTGGGGGGGTTAGCAGGTGATGCTTCTAGCCATAAACCGTCTCCCTTTGCTGTTTCTCTGACTTTGCCCCTCGTGCTGGTGCTGTCTGCAGCTCACAGAAATCCGGTTTTCCAACAGGATTTAAGCACTGAAGTTGTTCGTTCCTTCTTTTCGCTCCTACCCGCACAGGCTCTTGTGGGGATTGTAGGCGAGCAGTTCGGAGTATTGTAGCTGACCTCCCAGGCACCAGAGGCTGGCTCGTGGTTAGGAAGCAGGTACCACCGTGCAGTGTGAACTTCACCCTTGTGCTCAGTGCGAAGACCCTGAAGCCAAAGTGGAAGTAGGTACCCCACGATCTGTGGCTGGAGGAGCCACCACAGTCTACTTAGACATTTAAAACCACAGATACCCCAGAATTGTCATGGGACTTGGGTTTGGGCTGTGGTTTGGTTTTCTGTTTGTTTTAAATCCTGCACCTTCGTCTTGTTCGTAACATAAGCCAAAATGTGGAGCTTCTCCTGCACCCTGTGGCCGAGCTGGGTTTTACATTGAAGAGCCATTCAGTCTTGACTTACCCGTCTGAAACGGTGGAGGTGCTACTTTCCCTCTCAGTAAACTTGGCCTGTGGGTACTCACCCGTGGGCTCCTGCTTGCTCACCTTGATCTGTTCAGTTCCCATTTGTAGTTCTTGGATAGCAACTTCAAAGTTACAATCTGGAATATTTACAGCTCAGGAAAAAGAATTGATTTATCTAGCAATGTTAATTCCATTATTTATCTCTTGTGTGTCCTAAAGAACAAATGTATATTGAGGTGAATATTTAAAAGCTAATAGAAGATTCAATGCAGTTGATTTACATTTTTTTTATTTTCTGGGTATAAATGTAATAATATTTAAGTATTTTAACATTTTTCATTTCCTTATTTGTTTGTCCCTTTTTCCCTTGGAAAAATAAACTGAGTGAGTAGGTTTGAACAGCTGTGTCCAAGAACTATTTGCTTCTGGAAGCTCAAAACAATGGAATCTCCTTGTGTTATTTGTAGGAACAGACCCCCTGCAAAAAGGGAGAAAATAGGGGTGTTTAAGAGCTTACATGTTCCCTCCCAAAGAGCCAAAATAGCATGATAGAAAACATTTAGACCCCGAGCAAGAATCCAGCACCTTGAGGTGATCCAGTCCCCGTTTATGGGGAGGGTTCGTGCTGCTTTGAAGCAGTTGGAGTTTCTCTGAAAGACGGCTGCAGTGCTGTGGAAAACTGGCTGCCTGAGAAGCCAGCAGTGCCGCTGTCCTTGCCCGAGGACTTTGCCAGCACTTGCAGACTACTTATTCAAGTTAGCAGCGTGAAGGAGAGACCCTGAGCGTGAGGCGGTGGGAGTCTGAGCCAGGGCTGGCCCGGCTGTAGTGGGAAACGGACTGACCGGGCGGGGAAAGGCAGAGGTGGTCGGTTCGTTCTGCCGCCGCAGTG